GGCGGAGACCCTGCGGCGGCCGCGTCGCACCACTTCTGTCCAGGAAGGTCGGGGCCAGGTGTTGGCTCGGTTCGGCGTGGAAGTGTGAACCGAAGTATTTGTCCCGTATCCGCTGTAGACCCCTGGATTGGCTGATGGTGTCTGGATGGCTAACGCTACCGTTGAGGTAGCCAGGCTCGATGCAGCAGCCCTGGTGGTGCCCACGGTCTCCACGTCCCGCTCCCAGTCGGAGGAGAGGCCGCTCTTTTCACATGGATGGTCCTCCGGGCGGGCAGGTAGAGGTGAAGTGACGGTGTGCATCGTTGCCTACCAGGGGAGGGTGGCTGCGGAATCCGAGACCACCAGAGACATGGGTGAAGGAGGTGATGGTGCTGGTGGAGCAGTGAAAGTTGAGGACTGTAAATGTGAGATATGTTTTGACTGGGCAGCAGCAACCGAGACAAAGCTCTCGATCAGCTGATCCCTTTTTCGAAGCTCTGACTCAAGACGATGGATCTCATTCTTCAACTGTGAGTAAGAAATGGTGCAGTCCACGCACACAGCCATGGCAGTTGGTATTGTAAATAAAAATAAAATAAATAAATAAAAAACTTCAAAAACACAGTTAAGTTAAAATAATCTAGCGATCGGTAAAGGTGTTAAAGCAGGTTATGTTTGACCAAGTAGCGGCGTATGTGTCTGTTACGGCCCTAGTATGAGCAGCGCCATAAAACGGAGGCTCCCGGACAACTTTACTTTTTTTTCCCCAAAAATCTTGGATAAACTTTGCAGAATATATACCAATATAGAATAAAAAGGGGAAATAAAATACAATCTGGAAGTAGTCTACGACGAAACCTAAGTAAAGACAGGTTTACTCAAGTAAGTAAGTAAATACAAAAAAATTAAGATAAGAAATCATAACACATCAGCATAAATTTGACACGCCATCTCTGCAGTTCACATACAATAAACTGTGTTGACAAAGAGCCACAACCACAAGAGCAGCCTCCGGAATACCTTCCTCCGAAAATCCAACCCAAGGACACACCAACCTGACGGCCATCATGTTGCAGACCTACCATGACCAATTTTGAAAATGCATTAGACTAAAGCTTTGCAACTACAGATGAAGAAAAACAAGAGACAAGACGTGGACATTGTTGTTTAACCTGTTATACCACAGAAAAGACATAGGACAAACATTTCTACATGCAGGCAATGATGAATTATTCCCCAAGCTGAAAATTGAGTGTGATGTGTAAAATTAAAATTGGTTTAATAATAAGTTTTGTAAAAAGAAATACAGCACCTTCCTACCTTTTATCTCAATATAAATCAGTATGATGTATTGGTCACGATAGTAATCAGGCTACATTTGACACATTGCTGCGAGCCCTGCTATTGACACAATAATCTCAATACTGAAAGATTCTTGCTGTACAAGGTGTCTTCAGGCAAGGAGTGGAAGCAGCCAGTAGATGGTCAATTTGTTTTAATAGCAAAACGTCAAACAAAACAGGTCCAACAATAAAGCAGTAGGTAATACGCAAATCCAGTCAAGAATAACTTCTAACTTCTCAAGAATAACTTCTAAAGTATCATTAGTTGTTTATGCTTATATACCTGTGTGGGGGGAGTGGTTTTCGACTTCCCGGGTGTGTGTTTAAATCTTGTAGGCCAATGGAAGAGAGAGGCTAGGCCTCTTGTGGCCAATCATATTATTGTTCTTGTATCACGTGATATCTGCAGTCACCACTATATGGTGCTGCTGCGCCATGATTCTGCAGCGTTGGAGGAACCTTTTGTTGCTGAGTGGGGGGTTATCACAAGGAAAGTGGACCGAGCCATGAAGTCCAGTCAACCATAGGTGGTCATGTAGATCAAAAGGAATGGATGGCTTCGGGGTTCCCTGTGAAAGGTAGATTGGGAGATCTCCCATTGTTCCCAGGAAGTAGAAAGTTGGTGTGAGAATCTCCCACTGTTCCCAGGGAGTAGAGGTGTTTTTAGAAAGTTGGTGTGAAGAGAATTTGGGGAAATTCCCTTTGAATGTGTGGGGATATGTGACTGTGTGCTTGGGAAAGCCATTTGGTGTCTTATCATCTTCCTGCTGCAGACCCAACCAAATGTGAAAACCACTGAAATCTAACAATACCAATAAATAATAATAGCTAAAGTGACTAAAGTAAAGTGAGGAGCAACAGGTTTGCAGAGCCCTATATTAGATCATTTAAAGGAATAATGGTTTTTAAAAATGTGTTTATATTAGATAATGAAAATTATTGTACTGTATTTTTTGGACCATAAAGCGCACCAGATTATAAGGCACAATATCAATGAACGGGTCTATTTTCATACATAAGGCGCACTGGGTTATAAGGCGCATTAAGTGAAACAAAACAATAAATCAAGCATGCCCTGATCCCTCTCGTCATTCTCCGAGTCAGTCTCGTTGCTGTTAATTAGTTGTTCAGTAATGATTCCGGCCTTCGTGAAACATTTGAGACTGATACCTTTGCCCAGGCAGCCACGATCCATAAGCAGATAATGGCGTAACTCGCCCGGCGTTGCCTCCCTGTCTTGGGGAATGTGTGTTCGCGTTCGTCATCCAATGCTTCCACACAATTTAACTTTGAACGCCCTGTTAACACCAATATTTAGCAATTGGAATTCTTTGGTTAATCCACCCGGAATGATGACAAGGCCCGAATTAGTTTGCTTCACTTGGGTTTTGACAATATCAGTGAGATGGGCACGCAGATCAATAGGGACGGAGATTTGTGGAAAAGGGTAGTGACCTAAGTTGGGCGAACAACAACAACTACAGCACCCTCCAGTGGGTGCTGTAGTTGTTGTTGTTGTTCGCCCCTCCAGAGTCAGGCGGTTGTCACTATTTTTGTTCTGGATGGTCACCGTATTGTTGTTTAGACGCTGTTCCGTGCGGAAGTATGGATGTTGTTTTGCAGAGAGAGTGTGTTTTGCCCGTATCGATAAAAAAGGAGAAATAAAAAATCGACAGCCATGCGTCTGAGTCATCCCATACATCGACCATACAAAAACACAATGTAGAGTCTCCGGGTGTGGGGAGGCACGACGCGACGTTGCACCGAGTTGGGTTACACAACCATACTGTAACAATTGTTGTTGAGCATCTTCTAATTGTGATAACAGTTAAACGTCATTGCTGGCTTCAGTTGTGTGCCATCATGTGTGATGCGCTGTGTGGTTTGGCTTTATAAAATCGGTTCGAACTCAGTAAGCGCAAGCCGAATGAATACATAAGGCACACCGGGTTATAAGGCACCCTGTCAATTTTTGAGAAAATTAAAGGCTTTTAAGTGCACCTTATAGTGCGGAAAATACGGTAATATGAAATCCTTAATGGCGAGTCACAGTCTGTTAGAGACCCCTCAAGCAATAACAAAGCATCAATCAGATATAGTAAAGGCAAATACAGCATAGTATAGTTGCTTAGTTTATACTTTGATCATCACTCTTCACAACAGTGATAATATGATGCATAAGAAACTTACCTTGTGAAGAGGCAGAACAAAAAAAGCACCACCACCACTGGCCTCAATGATTATGGCAACAAACTTGGGATTGACTGCACAAAACGAACTGTCCCATGTGACCCTTGAAACACGAATATCATCGTAGCATTGATCGTTCTTCACCGCCTGGCCAAAGACATGACGGAATTTGCTCTGTCGTACAACTCGTTTCATATCTGTGGGGGAAATTAGATCAGACTTGAAATCAAACACACTCAAAACAGGAGAGTTCATTCTTTGTGTCTAGTTACTGGTTGACTTTCCGTAGCTTTTCACCTAGAACCACAGCTAAAACCTAAATAATTTTAAGCTCAAATACGGTAGCTGTAATAAAAAAGATAAGGAGAGGCCAAAAGCCAAAAAACACTAGTGGATTAAATACACAAACTACTTTGAAGTTTAGAATATTAGTCCTTTTTATCCTCTAATTTCATGCAACACTTTGGGCATACATGACTGATAATGCAGCCTGGGAATTTACTTGGGCATTGGTCTATCAAACCTTGTTATTCCACTTTTTCCTTGTAAGAAACATTAATGAAAGTTGTAAATAAATGTACCATATGTATCATTTTCATAAATTTCAAAATCTATTTTTCTGTGAAAGAAACATTTCCAAAGGAACAGAGCAAATCCAATCCAAACAAATACATACAGTACTTTACTGCTGATTCAGCTTAATTCTTCACTATGACAAAAATCTACTGGCAGACCAGAGAGCTTTGGAAAAAAGCCTATTCCTATGCCTAGACCTTCAAGTGTTAGTGATCTGCTTAAAAAACAGAGCACTTCCACAGATAACTGATCTGATAAGTGACTAAAATGAAAGTCAATTTTAACTTACAAACTGGACAAAAAACAAATGTTTTTCAAACATTTAAAAAAAATCCTTAAATCTTTATTTGAAAACAGCACATGGCAATAGTTTCCTGGGCTGAATCACCAACATGACCAATGCACAGAACAGGATGTGGGACATATTTATAGTTTGTTTACAATTGTTAGTGAGTAATAGTGTGAGTGAGACAGAGAGAGAGCGAGAAAGAGAGAGAGTAAAGGGGAAGAGTGCATGCAAGAAAATGTCATATGACATGCTTTCGACAGGACAAAGACTGCAATACAAGCAGCAGGTTCTTCCTGTCGGGATGTGGGTGTGTTGCAGTCTGACAAACATCCGAAGACACTGCGTTGTGTTTTTGTATTGTCGATGTATGGTGCAATGCAGAAGGTCGACTCAGACGCATGGCTGACGATTTTTTTCGTGGTCAAAACCTTTTTTTATTTCTCCTTTTTTTAATCAATGCAGGAAAAACACACACTCTCTCTGCAAAACAACATCTGCACTTCCACACGGAACAGCGTCAAAACAACAGATACGGTGACCATCCAGAACAAAAATAGTGACAACCGCCTGACTCTGGAGGGACACTGAACAACAACAACAGCGCCCTCCAGTGTTCAACTTAAATCACTACCCTTTTCCACAAATCTCTGTCCCTATTGATCTGTGACTCCATGCGCACCGATCTGACCGATATTGTCAAAACCCAAGTAAAGCAAACTAATTTGGGGCTTGCCCTCATTCCAGGTGGATTAACCAAAGAATTCCAACCGCTAAATATACATGTGTATATATGTGTGTTAACAGGGCGTTTAAAGTTAAATTGGGAGCTGCGTGGGAGCATTGGATGACAGAAGGCGAACACACATTCACCAAGACAGGGATGCAACATGGGCGAGTTACGCCACTATCTGCCAATGGGTCGTCGCTGCCTGGGCTAAGGTATAAGTCTCAAATGTCGTCCGAGCTTTCACAAAGGCCGGAATCATCACTGAACAACTAATTAACAGCAACGAGACTGACTCTGATAATGACAAGAGGGATCCGGGCATGCTTGATTGATTTGTGTTAACCCGGTGTGCCTCATGTATGAAAATAGACCCATTCATTGATATTGTGCCTTATAATCCGGTGCACCTTACGGTCCGAAAAATACAGTACTCTGTAACAAAATATCATGTTGGTTTAAATTGTGGATCACATTTAACCAACACTGGTTGAAGAGCTCAAGTTGTTTATCAACACAATACTGTAACTGCCTGAGATAGGGTCTACGCCAGCCCCTCTATTATTGGACAACAGCAGATTTCCTCTGAAAAGTACTATAATGTCTAAATGTAACATGCCATGTGCAAGAGTGGCATTCAGAACTGAAAACAAGAAATACATATGGGATCCTTACATAAGATCTGTGCTGTAATACTGTAATGCTGTAACATTATCATTATTCTGCAATTTCCCAGCTTGGGATCAATGAAGTACATCTAGCTATCTACAGTATCTATCTTATAAAGCCAAGGGCAGTATGCAGTCAAACCAGGCGGAACACTCATTGTCCTGTCAAACTATGTTACTTACCCAACAACCGCTTCACAAAAAGACAGAAAGCCAATATTAATATATATGTGTATATCCAACCTTTTATTTTACCTTCTGTAAAACACATGACCTAAATGGCAACAGACTGCCAAATGACATCAAGGTGACTAAAGCCTGAAAAGGTAATTTCTAACTGTCATCTAACAAAACACAAATAAGCAGATCACTGATAAAACACACATTAGATCAAACCTGCTTATTTGTAAAATAATTTGTTTGCACACCAGTTGCCTTTTAACCAACGATGCAACTTTCACTTGAGTACTTTGATTCCACTTCTTCTTCAAGGGTAACGTCTGCTGATGCACAGTGGACAATGGGGAACTAGATTTTTGTAACTGGTCTAAAGCAGGGGTCACCAATCATGAAACTGAGAGCTACTTCAAGGGCACTTAGTAATACAAAGAGCTACTTGTTTGCAGGCACTCTTCTTACCATCGTCATTGCACCCATTTGAATATCATTGCAAGTGTAACCGATTTAAAAAGTACAGTTACAGTTGACCCTCTTGTTGATGAGTTTTATTTTTAGAACATACCCCACGGGCACCTTAGGTAGTCCAAGGGAGCTACCAGGTGCCCCCTGGGGACCACGTTGGTGACCCCTGGTCTAAAGACAGCAATAGCACAAAATTATTTTTAACATATTGAGATAATGTTTCTTGTCCATACAATTCTTTCATCAGGTGTGTTTGGTGGGCAGGTGACATAACATGGCTAAAGGGTGGGATATTTAGGACAGGGAAGTGCAGCATAGTTAGAGCAGAAATGTGGCTTAGCCTGAAAACACATACTATATAGAATGACAGAATGTAATCATGCAATCATGTAAAAGGTGAACATTTTCTACATCTCCTGGTGGCTTGTAAACCTCTTTTAAAAAGGTACTCATTCCAATCATGATGAATTAAATAAATATTTTAAAGTGTGAGGAAGAAGGACATATTTCACATTCAAAAAACTAAAACCCACACAGATTAACAGAAAGACCTGCTGACCATGGTACAAAAAATAACATCTACTCTGTATGCAATAGCAGGTAGTTACAAAAGCTACAAATGGCACCAGTTTAATTGTCTCATATACAAGTCATCAGTATCAAACTCAACACTGAAAACAATAACCGCTACACTGAGGCAACCCTTAAAGACTTTGGGTCAGTGGTCCTGTTGATAATTTCATCTTATTGTGAGAGAATTTATATTGGACACTGATCACTGAATTATGAATTACATTCTGATACTTTGCTTCCCACAACATTCACCCAACAGACCTGTGATGTCACCTCAGAGCTTTTAATATGCCAGTCTGGCTTGCTTTACCACCAAGACTGCACAAGACTCCAACTTAATCACCTTCCTGTGTTGAAGGCTACGGGACACTATTGTAATAAGATTCCAGCAGCATTCTGGTGCAACAATGAGATAAGGTGCAGTTACTTACACCTCTGTCAGTCTACTGCCAAGGCTGCCACTGGTTGATAACACAATAACTTTTGTACCATGTCTATGAAGATTCTCAGTCATCCAGGTCATGGTCAAGTTTGAAAGTTCTGTTAGGCATTCTGTTTTTATACCAAAAAATATTTGCTCTCTTTTTAGTGCATTGTCACAATTGTACTGAAAGATCTTATACATGTATTTAACATTTGACAAACTATATTTAATAAATTCCTGTCAGTTGATTTAAAAACATCAAGTTGGGTTAATATCCCAGAGCAAAAACATGCACAGTCACATGCAACCTGGTGGGCGGGCCTGTAAGTGAGCCCTCTTTCACCACAGCACAAAAGGGGACAGTAGCTGTCTTTCAGACCTTTAGGTAGATAAGATTGGTAAATAAGGTCGGTGAATAAGATCGGTTCCACATAAAGACTTCGGCCAATCAACAATCCCATTTAAGGAAAATGCGCCGATCAATTTGGATTGACATACAGGATGTCTTGACCTGTACTTTAACAATAACCTTTACGTCACACTTCCTGGATATGAGACTTAAAGGGCTACATTCTAAAATTCTTATTGTACTAGCAAAACATTTAAATCCAATTAGAATTGCGAAAAAATAATTCCATCCACTCATCCATCATCGTCCGCTTATCCGGGGCCGGGTCGCGGGGGCAACAGTCTGAGCAGGGACACCCAGAATTCACTCTCCCCAGACACTTCCTCCAGCTCTTCTGGGGGAACGCCAAGGTGCTCCCAGGCCAGCCGAGCGACGTGGTCACTCCAGTGTGTACTGGGTCTTCCCCAAGTCTCCTCCCAGTGGGACGAGCACCTCCCGAGGGAGGCGTCCGGGGGGCATACGATGTAAATGCCCAAACCACCTCAGCTGAGTCTCTCGATGTGGAGGAGCAGTGGTTCTACTTCAAGCTCTTCTCGTGTGACAGAGCTCCTCACCCTATCTCTAAGGGAGCGTCCTGCCACCCTGCGGAGAAAGCTCATTTTGGCCGCTTGTGTCCAGGATCTTGTTCTTCCAGTCATGACCCAAAGCTCATGACCATAGGTGAGGGAAGGAACGTAGATTGACCGGTAAATCGAGAGCTTTGCCTTTCGGCTCAGCTCCTTCTTCACCACAATGGACCGATACAGCAACGGCATTACTGCGGCCGCTGCACCAAGCCACCTGTCAATATCACGTTCCATCCTTTCGTCACTCGTGAACAAGACCCCAAGATACTAAACTCTTCCACCTTAGGCAGGATCTCCTCCTCAACCTGGAGGGTGCAAACCACCTTTTTCCGGTCGAGAGCCATGGCCCCGGACTTAGAGGTGCTGATTCTCATCCCAGCGGCTTCACACTCGGCTGCGAACTGCCCCAGTGTATGCTGCAGGTCCTGGCTGGAAGAAGCCAACAAGACAACATCATCCGCAAAAAGCAGAGATGAAATCCCGAACTGGACCCTACCCGACACCTGGCTGCGCCTAGAAATTCTGTCCGTAAAGAGTGAACAGAACCGGTGACAAAGGGCAGCCCTGCCGTAGTCCAACATGCACCGGGAACAGGTC